TTCAGAATTTCTGTTGAAGTGACCTGTCTAGAAGTAATTCAGCGACTGACGCGTCAGTTTTTAGACCCTTCGTCTGCTTCGGTCGCGCCATCGCTGGACGAGATCTCCAAGAATCACCTCAGTTTGGCTTTGCTCCTTTTCCCCTTCTGTTCTTCTATCAGCGACCTCAAAAACGGACTTTCTTTTGCGGCGAAGCGGTCGTGGATTCTCGTCCGCCGTCGCGACAAACTTTGTGCGAAATGCGAGGAAGCGACAGTTCGAAAAAGCCTCTAAGAACCGCTGTGTAAACCACATAATCCCCGCGCTCCAACGAGTCAGTTATACTAGGGAGTTTGATTGACAACCCAACAGCCAATAGAAAATGAGGGAGCCTCGTTTTCTATTGGCTGATGTTTATCTGGCCTCAACACGTCCACAGTTGATAGATTTTCGTTTTTTTTTTTTTTTTGGTCATCATAATTACAAAGCTGCTGCGTCTCTGTAATGGTATTTTAATCTTTCACTGACAGTTTGAAACTAAAAAAAATCCTCCATACAACCTTTAATAATTACATATCATTTTAATATGAATCTATGGGCTCAACATGGCTTCACATTAAAAGGTTTATATTACACTATAAGAAATATCTATGTTATAATGTTGTTTCCTCATCACAAACATATCTGGAGTTGTGCTTTGTTTCAAACCCTACATATTTGTAAAAGCCCATTTAGAAAGACTTCATTCGGACAGTCGGCCTTTTCAGTCTGTGCTGCACTCCCCACAGAAATAAGGAACATGACCTCCATCCATACTGTCCTACAAAGGCAAAAGACCTTCACTCGCCAGACTGTGAAAGTGAGAAAAATGACTTCAAAGTTTCAAAGCCGTGGTTTCTCGTATGGTTTTGGATGTTACAGTTGTCATATTTTCTCGTTAAAACAATCCAGTTGGCTCACGATACTTATTCTCGTGATAAAGGAGGTCTCAAATACCCCCAAAATGACATTAAATCATTTCTGAGCACACATGATGTTATGGCATTCTGTCTTTGTAGGGCAGCATAGCTTTAGTACAGGGGTGTCCAAACTTTTTCATTAAGGGCCACATATCTAAACACAGATGAAGCAGAGGGCCGATCGAGGGCTGTAGACTGGAGCTCAGTGAATAATTGAAATATGTGCATGTTTAACACATTAGAATGAGCCATCAGTCGTTATTCATGCTAAGATCCTTAAAACCACACAGTAAATATTCAATATTAGCTTTATCAAGGTAGATTAAAAAAAACCAAAAAAACAGTGAAACGTTCGTTTTTAATTGATGCAAGGTAATTTGGGCCAATTCACCTGGAAGAAAATTTTGTCAGAGGGCCGCATTTGGCTCACGGGCCATAGTTTGGACATGCCTGCTTTAGTAGACGTGTGAAACTGTGGCTTCTGGACAATCAGACACATGAACATAAAACTGACTAACCTTTATGTGTTTTAACATCACATAACAAATGTCTCTGTCTTGTTGTGTGATTGTGATTTGCGTCTATTGTCTTTAATTTGTGTGCTGTGTGTGCTCTTATCGTATTCCCATTTTACGACTGCAGCTTTCTAGTTTGTAAATCTCCCTAGTGAAGGAAAGCTCTACTAAATCTAAAATTGCAGTAAAATTTGACTTACTAGTATTAGTAAAAATGCTAGTGTGTATAAGTAATATTTTGCTGTTGAGAAGTGTTTACGCCACATCAAAATTGGGACTAAACCTGGACTAAACTATACCATGACTAAAGTTTACAAATGGAATACTATGAACCATGAACAAAACAAAATAGATATGAACTTAGGCTACGTTCAGACTGCAACCTGAAGTGACCCAAATTCGATTTTTTGGCCCCTATGTGACCTGTATCTGATCTTTTAATGACAGTCTGAATGACACAGGTCCAACTTTTTCAAATGTGACCCAGCCCACATCGATATGTGCTCCTGAAACCGATACATGTCCGATCTTTTGACATGCGACTTCAGTCTGAACAGCCAAAGTGCATTCATCCACCTACACGTTATCAAGCAAGCCACAAACGTCACTATTCTGCGCTGAAGTAGGCAAAAATTGTTAATGAACTCCGTGTCACTGAAGCGAAGCACATCACCACTCACCACTCTTGGCTCCGTCTCCACATCCACACGTTCCTTTCAACGGACGTCGCTGCCGCTGTCCCACAAAACACCACGGCCAAAAACCTCGTCCTTCTCCTTTTCAATCTCCTCCTTAAAACAAGTAAGTTGTTCATGTTCTGGCTCCGGTACGAAAGAAACTTTAAAATCTCCAGGTGCTCAATGCTCGCGTCCATGTTTGGACAACTTCCGTAAACACAGAGCACGCTCGCTGCGGTTGACGTCTTCGTGTCTCCAGTGCGCATGCGGGACACTTTTGGGTCATTTAATGTTCACACTGGAGTTCGCATACAAGTTGCATTTAATTGGAAATGTGAACGACCTCGCAAAAACATCGGATTTCACAAAAAAATCCAAATTGACCGTTAAGCCCTGCAGTCTGAACGTAGCCTTAGTCTGAGAAGTCTTGAGTAACACTGGACGACCACTAAAGCTGATGTTTATGCTGCGTATGAGAGCCAGGTCACTGAAAGCATCATGTACTTTCAGCTACTTCTGAGTGAGTAACATGGGGAAAATAACTACTACTATTAGTGAAAATGCCAAAATGATTATTGCTTTTGCTGTAATTTGAGAGCTGTTTTTACTACATCAAAATTAAGACTAAACTCACAGAAATAAGGAACATGACCTCCATCCATAGCTTTAAACAATCCGACACGTGAACATAACACTGACTAACCTGTGTGTGCCTTAACATCACAAACCAAATGTCTCTGTCTGGTTATGCGATTGTGATTTGTGTCTATTGTCTTTAATCTGCGTGCTGTGTGTGCTTTTAGCATGTTCTCATTTTACTAATGTGACTTAATGTCTTTTGTCATGTGTGATGGACTGAAGGTCATTGTGTCCTGTTTTTTGTCTCGCCATCGTCCTGCCAGTGGGACTATGGATGAAAATTACAATGTAAACCTGAACGTTCAAAAATAATTAAACAGATCAAGTTGCGTATACTCAAAGTTTTAGAAACAGTCCTACTAACTTAATGATGTCAAGTTGCTGTAACATGGTCTTCTTTTTGAGTAATTTTAATTAATATTTTTTTGATAAAAGGGAACTTTTGTGGGTATGAGTGAGCTTAACTTAAAAACATGAGGTACAACTTAGAATAATTTAAAAAAATAAGATGTAATGTGTGTATAATTTACTATGTGTAAACTATAATGTCCATGTATGCAAGTATGTCTGTTTTATTAAACTATATACACATTAATTTATATTATATTATATTAATTATATTGTATTGTATTGTATTGTATTGTACTGTACTGTATTGTATTGATAAGACTAGTGAATCCCCAGACTTTCACTTTGGGAACCTGGGTTTAAATCTCCCTCCAAAGTTGTGTTATAATCTAATATATGTATAATCTGTCTACATGTATAATACTAGGGCTGAGTATCATTTAGAAGTTGCAGATATGATACATACCTTGACACATAGGCCACGATACGATACATATCTCGATACAGTGAGCTTTGAAATTGATACGATATATTTCAAATCGATTTGAAACGGTTCAGTAAAAAAAATAAAGGCTAAATCAGGGCTGTGATAGTAAAAGTCTTTGTTAAAACACTTCATGTGCAAAGTTCATATGAAACACAAACATTTTAATCATCAAAATAGTGAAAATGTTAAATATGTCACATAAACGAGTTTCTTTCCTCTGAACAAGCAACAAAACTGTAGCGCTGTAACAAAATAATTTTGTAAAATATACCAAAAAAATACTCTTGGCGATATATCGAGACAGCAGCCCACGATATCGATGCAGTATCATCACATTAAATGACACGATATATCAATATTTTGATATTATTGTACACCCCAATATAATACCATGTGTTTATAGTGTAATATACAGTATGTGTACTATAATGTGTGTCGATACTAATGGATGTACTGGATTGTGTGTACAATGTGTGTACAAAAGCATGAACTGCATACAAAACTGAAAATGTATTAAATTATTCCAGTGGTTTGAAAACTTTAACTGCAAATATTTGAGTTGAGCCAAATGAGCACTTTTAATTCTGCTGTTATCAAAAGGTACAAGCAGCAAAACATCCAACCTTTTAAGTTTTGAAAGATTGTGACTTTTAACTTAATCAACTTAAAATAACTGAGTCAGTCTATTCCCTCAATTATTTTGAGTTCAGTAACTTATTCAGGTTTACAGTGTGGCCTGCACGGAAAACTCTGGCACGTTTACATGCTTTACTAACCCATGGTGATTAATGTGCACTGTCCCATATTTAATAAATAAACATAAACATTGAGGCTCAGTTCTTCTCACTGTTCCACCTTATGATATCATGTGGTGATACAGGAAGTGCTCCATTGTATTTTTAAACTCCATACACCTTCACTAGAATCATCTGGATAATTTCAGCCCTGGAATAATTGTTCATCTCTGCTGAACAAAAGGTAAAAGGTGGATGCTAATTTCATTTTTTTGTGTGCTGTAGACTAATAATCAACCATAACTCCATTGTGTGAATGAAACAAAACACAACTGAGGTAACAGCATTCTAACACAACTTACAGCGCACAAGAGTCCAATTTTCTGCATTATACGACCTTTCACCTACACTGAAGCATCAACATTCTGAACACCGACATAACAAGTGACATATTCCTGGAAAATATAGGCATCTGACTGGAAATGAAAGCGCCTGTTTATATTGGTTTGTGGAAAATTAGTTTGAAAATGTGAGTTGCTTTAGGCGGCGTTGAAAGCTCTCGTGATAAAGGACACGGGGGGTTTGAGATTCAATAATGTCGGAGCACAATAAGCAGAGTGAAGGTGGACCTGCAGGACCATAAATCATCTCCTGGCACTCACCTCGTTTATCAGGATCCAGTGACAATCGAAGGCCACCAGGTTGGTCTCCACTACCTGCAACAACAAAGGGAAAAAAAAACATCAGAAGGCATCAGGAAATGGGTTTAGAACATTTGGAAAAAAAAAAAAAAAACTGTTGCAATGACCCGAGAGGATATGGCAGCAAGAAGAAATAATCGATGTTTGGTGTAGATGTTGGGTTGGTTGACATTTAAAGGTTTTATAATACGCAAACTATTCTGTCCTCGCGATGGCGTCGCTACCAGGGCTAGACAGATAGTGAACATACAAAAAAGAGAGTCCACACGACCATATGGAAAAGACTTGTCTTTACTGACGCTTATTCCCACATTTGTCTTTTTTCGTTTTAAAACTGCAACAAAACACACAAAAAATGTACATGTTACAACAAAATAAAAGCCCCACTACCCAGCCCAAACACAAGACGGAGCTAGCAACAGAAACTAGCAATAGGCAACACCGTGAATGCGTCAAAACTACTGTTCCAACCTTCAAATATGTAGAACAATACAAGAAAACAATATTACAACACAAAACAAGCCGAACTTAGAGACAAAGATGCCCCAAGGCCGAAAACAGAGACGTATTCTGTCAGACTGCACTGCGAACCGATCACGCTAGAAAGTGAGCACATGCGGCAGAAAAAAAACAAAACTTAAAACCAACGGCGTCCACTAGAGGGCGGCAATCAACTTTATCGCAAACAAAGTATTAAATGTGTCAACAGTACACAAACTCTTGCCCAAATGTGGAAAAAGTGATCAGTTTGTATAGAGGATATTTTAAGGGAAGAGAAATAATTTTTCAAATGTTGTGCATGTGTGACACCACCTTCCTCCTCCACAGCTCCTCAGTAGAAACATCTCGTCCCGTCTCTTTACTCTAGAGTCACGTTTGTTTACAGCCGGTTCAGAATTACTGTTGAAGTTTCCTGTCTAGAAATAATTTAGCGACCGGCACGTCAGTTTTTAGACCCTTCGTCTGCTTCATTCGCGCCATCGCTGGAAGGAATCTCCAAGAATTCTCTTCTTCTTTCAGCGACCTCAAAAACTGACTTTCTTTTGCGGCGAACTGGTCGTGGATTCTCGTCCGACATCGCGACAAACTTTGTGCGAATTGCGACAAAGCTACAGTTTGAAAAAGCCTCTAAGAACCGCTGCATAAACCACGAAATCCCCGAGTCAGTTACACTAGAAACGTAGGGAGATTGATTGACAACCTAACAGCCAACAGAAAAAGAGGGAGCCTCGTTTTCTATTGGCTGATGTTTATCTGGCCTCAACACATCCACAGTTGATGGATTTTTATTCTTTCTTTTTTTTGGTCATCATAATTACAAGGCTGCTGCGTTTCTGTTATGGTATTTTAAACTTTCATTGACAATTTGAAACAAAAAAAAATCCTCCATACAACCTTTAAGTAAAAGTGCAGATACCAGAGCAAAATTTTTTTTTAAATGATCAAGTAAAAGTATTACATGAAAAATCTCTTTAAGTAAAAATATTAATGTACCTGTTTAAAAATGTTCTTAAAGAGTAAAAAAGTAAAAGTATTTTGTGCAGATTTTAAGCTTCAGATATATTAATTTTGATCAACAGTAATTTTGTTCAATGGATTTGTTACTATTATTATTATCACATATATTATTATTATTATTATTATTATTATTATTATTATTATTATTATTATTTTAGGTGTTTTTATTTGTTTATTGCTATATTTTTGTTTGCTCAAATTATGAATCCGTTAAACGTAACCCCTGAGCCTTTTCTGCAGGCCTCAAACAATAATAAAAATACTTTTACTTTTTAGTCCTGTTCCAAAATGAAATGGAGCAGAAAGAAAAATGTCCTTTTTAAAATGTACATAAGTAAAGTGCAGATCCCTACAATTTATACTTAAGTGTTGTACTTTACTGCTTTTACTTTATTGCGTTCCACCACTGCTCTTGACTTTTATAAGCTTTATGCCAGGAAAGGAAAGAACCACACACAAGAACACACACAAGTGAACACAGACATTCGGGGCAAGGTGGGTTAAGTGTCTTGCCCAAGGACACAAAAACAGTATTCATCTGTGGGAGCTGGAATCACATCGCCAACCTGTGGAACTGACCGCTCTACCAGTGATGTGTATGTGTATGTCGAGAGAGGAATTCAAACCCACAATCTTCACATTCGACTGAACTACAGTTACGCAATACCAGGGATTTTCAACCATTGCATCTCCCATCAGAAGAAAATGACTGTGACTTTATCAAAACCAAACATGTTTCTCTGTCAGAATGAAATATTTCAGTGCCAGAAGGAGCAAAATGGGCCTCGCACATGAAAGCACAGGGGTCTTTATTATTGTAATAACCATATTTGAGCCACATTTATTATGTTTGTTAAACTGTCAGCTACATAATAACGTCAGTAATGCGTCTCTCCCAACTGAACGAAACCAAACGTTCAATATAAAATGAAAAGCAAGTCTCCAGCAACAATTCCCATACGTAAAGATTATATTGGAAACTGTCGACTTTAAAAGGTGCATTGCGCAACTTTTCTGGTTGAGAGTCCGTTACGTGCTTGTCTTCATGGAGATGTTATGGCTTTTTCTACAATGTTCCGCTGTAGGGGTGTGTCAAAATATCAGAGTATTTTTTGGTATATTTGACTAAATTATTTTGTTATAGCGCTACAGTTTTGTAGCTTGATTCATCAGCCGGTTTCACTTCGTGGAAACCATCTGACCTCGCAGCATTATGATTTGTTCACTTGACGGTAGACGGGTACGTTTTTTATTTAATAAATTGCTGCAATTTGGTATGTAATGTGCCAAATCCTGTAGGAAGAAGCGCAATAACGTCTTGATAAAATTCACCAAACATTCTCTTTGTTCCGGCTTTAAATCCTCAATCTCGAGAATCCTTGCCAACACAGAACGTATGTCTTCATCTACATCCATCTCGACCGGTTTGTTTACTGTTGTGTTGTACCACAAAAGGGACACAGACAGGCACTTGAGTTTGATATCATGGCTTTACATAAGGAGAAAATTCAATTTGTCGACTGGACAAAAGTTAGTTTGGTTGGTTTGTTTCAACCAAACTAACTTTTGTCCAGTCGACAAACTGAATTTTCTCCTCATGGATTCTACCTGGACGACTGAGGGATTCTTCACACGTCATGGCTTTACGGCTCTTCGCTGATTGCCGGTCTCCAGCTTCTAGGGATCTTGCAAACAGTCTAGTGCATTCCAATACCTGACCTAGTCACTGGAGAGAAATTAAAATGGGCAGAGGCACTAGGTGACACCAGCCTGGCTACAGTTTTGTTGTTTGTTTAGTGGAAAGAAACTCATTTATGCGACACATTTGACATTTTCACTGTTTTGATGATTAAAATAGCATTTTTTTTCATATTCACTTTGCACAAAAAGTGGTTTAACAAAGACTTTTAGTATCTCACAGCCATGATTTTGTTTTGTTTTTTAATTGAACTGTATTTAATCGTTTTGAAATATATTGAACTGAATCGAAAGTACTGTGTATCGAGATATGTATCGTATCGTGGCCTATGTATCGAGGTATGTACCATATCGGCAACTTCTTAATGATATCCAGCCCTATTCCACAGTAGAGATTAAACCTTTACATCTCAAGGAAGACAACTATCGGCTACATTACAGGTCAGATCTGTGGAGAGGCAACTGTATTTACAGAGAATCATTTTATTTTTGAGCAACTGAAACACCCGTAATGAATAAATGCTACTACATAGATGTGTTTAATGACCTATTATGGTACATTCAGTAGAGACAAGCAGGTGACGGACCCTCCACCAGAAAAGTTGCGCAATGCACCTTTAAATAACTTGATTTTTTTTCCCTGTAATTGACCATCAGGTAATTCATAACACAGAGCAGTGTTTTATTACCAACTGTTCCTTCTCCTCATCCATCCCTCATCTCCATTCCCTCGTTCATCAAAGCCCCTAACTCATCCTCTCTTTCAGACGCGCTCCTCACCTCGGCGTGGCTAAAATACAGTCTCACTCGTATATCATTATCTGTAATTGTGTAGGTAACTGTGGCGGCGGGCATCGTAAACCAGTTTTTAGCCGTAAACAAAAGGCAACAGCTGGAGCGTCTGACGGAGCGTGGCTAATAGTGCTTTAATCTCTCACACAGTCGCCATAAAACTTCATCATTAGAACACAGAAGGCTGCCGTAAAGCATTCTGTCCACGGGAGACACGGGGACCATAGTGGGAAGGAGGGGGAGAGAATTGGGAAATGTAAATGTTATGTCAAAAGAGGGTTGGGTGGTGGGATGATAGAAAGTGAGTTCATTTCAGTGACAGTTGCTATTTTGGTCGTATCTCCATCTCACAATCAAGTATTTAAGAGTCGCGCCCACTTAAAGTCAAATTTCCATTCCTTTTTCCCATAGACTTTTTCGAATTTACCATTAGCACTAAAACGTTGTAGCTATAATTACTTATAAAATGGCTATCGACACTTTTGGCAGACGCACAGAAGTGAAATCTCATTTACAAAAGGTTGAGCATTTAATTTTCATATATATTAAAGACCTGTGTTGTGAACTGTGTTATTTTCACTTTAACATAGCAAATTAAAAGAATGAAAGAACCATGCTGAGCTAAAATTAGTACATGTTTATTATTTGCTGGCTATATTTGCAAAACTCCACAAAATTAGTTAAGTTAAATGATTTCAGGCTGTGGAAAAGTCTGTATCAGTCTTTAGTTACTTGCTTTTGATTCATATTTTATATTATCATACAGACTTTTCCACTGCCTCAGATCGCTTATCTTCACTAGTTTTGTGGAGTTTTGCTAAAGCCGCTGTCGTCAGCTGAGCAGAAAAAACGTCATATAATTTCTGCAAAAATAATAATTAATAATTCACTAGGCACACAGTGAAAACTGTCACAAAAATACAAATGTTTTGTTTAATTTTCTGCCTGTTTTGAGGCTATTTAACATTTTGAGGAGCTGGATGACAAGCCTAATTCATCAGCCAGTT